GATACGTGCTGCCGAAGCCTGAAGGAGCCAGCAACGGTACCGACGTAATCATGGAAAGGCAAGCAGCATATGATTTGTTTAGTGCTTCTCTTAGAAAATGGCAGATTAGGGGGATTGACTTAGATAAAGATCTCCCCTCGCTATTGCATCATGCTGAGTCCTATGGCTTTTTCATTAACCCCCATAGTGTTCATGAACTTTCCGAATGGAGAAAATATAGGGATAAGGTGTGGGAATTAGTGTTAGATGATGACAAACCGGGCAAGAAAATGAGTAAACTTTGGAGAATGGTTCATAATGAATTGTTAATGTGTCAGGCAGAAAAGAGGGCGGTGGAAGTGATACGGATGGCTCGGGAGAAAAATAAGGAATGTAAACCCTTGCTTCTCTCCAGTGAGCCAAACCCTCCAGTTCTCACAAATTTTCCCGTTCCCATCTCTGCTTCTGAAATGCCTGTACCTCCCATAAACACTAGTAGCATTGAGGTGCTGGAAATTGAAGTCCAAATTGCTTTATGGCAATGGGACTGGGATCCCAAATTCACTTTGTGTGAACGGGGATCAGGTGGAACAGATCAGAAGACTCCAAACTCCAAATCGGGCCATTCCCGACGGGAGGAAAAAGACTTTTCGCATCGTTGTTTGTTTGCGAGAGTCCACTGGAGCAGTGAATACCTCAGCGTTCACGAGGAACCTGAACGGCGGGTGTGGACGTGGCCGGGGCCGGGAGCTGGAGCGGGAGTGCTGCCTTGCCGAAGAAAAGTGAGCGCAGCAACCTGCGGAGGTTGGAGGTTGGCAGAACTAAGGCAGCGGGCTGCGGCAGCGAGCACCGGCCAGCCACCCGGGTGGAGCGCAGGAGCGGCAGCGCGGAGCAGCGGGCGCGGGGCCAGACAGAGCGGGGACGGCCAGCACCGAGCCAGAGACGAGCCCGGGGCGGAGCGGACATCAGCCGAGAGACGGAAGGCTCCTTGTTGCCGAGCAACAGCGCAAGGGGGGAGAGGGGTGTTCCTGGGGGCTCAGCCGCGCTGGAGTCGGAGTAGGCGGGGCGCGGCCGTGGCGGGGGTGTCTCTTCTCCCATCCACAAAGTCACGCAACAAGGACGGGAGCGAGGCAGCGGCGCCCCTCATCTCCCCGCAGCGCCCAGCAATGGCGGCGGAGATGGCGGCACAGTCCTGGTTGCCATGGCAGTGACAACGCCGGGAGCAGCAGTGCCACCGATGGTGGGATCACAACACTACAGCAAAAATTTCAACAGCATCTT